CATGCATGAATTACCTGTAAAGCATTAAAAAAATAAATATAAAAATAAAAAAGTTCTACCCTAGAGATTCTGACTCAGTTGTTCTGGTCTGGAACTCATCCTGCAATCTGAGTACACTTCCCAGGTGAGATCGGGTGTAATATGCAGCAAGGTTACCTACGGTATCTAGGACAGTTCTCTGTGAAGGGCAGGCAGTTTCCAGGAAGTGACAGAAATGTTGAATTGCACTGATAAATAAATGTGCTACACGGTTCTGGGGTGAGGACATTTCTGGACATATCTCAGTGTAGGCATCTTGGGGTCCCTGCAGCAGCTCATCATTTTTGGGTGATTCATGATCGTCTAAAGGTCTCACCCTAATTCAGCTGGAGCTCTGCTCATTGTGTGTGTGTGTGTGTGTGTGTGTGTGATTCACCTTTGGATTTTAGACCACAGTTTGCTCATCAGTAAAATGATGATAAAGTCTGGGGTTGTGCTTTTGTTTAAAGGAAAAACTAGCAAAAATTTGCCCCAGTGGGCTGATGTCAAATCATCAAATTGCTGTAATGGAAACACAGATGGAAGTTTGGAAATAGAAGCAGCAGAATTGTGGCTGGGGTCATGTCTAACAGTAGCTAATCAACAGGGCCCATGATGACATGGACGTAGTGATCCTCCCATTAGCTCTTATCTTCATGATATTTGAGCCTCTGAGGGAAAGCCACAGCCTACTCTCACTGAGTTTTGAACTACCATGCTTTCTCTGTATGAACTTAAGGGGCCCATGGGTCTAGATGTTCTCCATGGGTTGGCCTGTATGACGGATGGTGGTTCCCTGCTCTGATCACCAGTGACTTGAGAGCCCTATGGACTCTGCAGGGAAGTCCAGCCTATTGGCACCAACTTTCCACATCAGCAAGGCTGCTGCTCACTCTGAGAGCCCAGATCACAGCCCTGAGCCTGGACCCAGGCATGGATCCTGAGCTGTGGATCCTGGTTTCCTGCCATGAACCCCTTTCAGTTCCCCACTTCTGGTTAGAACCATAGCTGCACACTGCGCACACGGACCCCTCCTCTGCTCTGCCTGTGTTATCCTGTGCATTCCTACTCATCTTCTGTTCCCTGCCTGCCTCTGCCCTTAAGGCCATCCCAGCAAACCCTGCAAGACCTGGTTGAGCGGCTTCATAAGGCAGCCACTAAGCATCTGCCCTGTTCTAGCATAGGGGCTTAGTGTGCCTTCCTCCTGTCTAATCTGAAGTCTTATCTATTTATTTTTTTTTATTTTTTGTAATTCTGAGGATTGAACTCACTATGCTTTATTGCTGAGCTACATTTTCAGTCCCTTTTATTCTTTATTTTGAGACAGGGTCTCATTAAGTTGCCCAGGCTGGCCTCCAACTTGTGATCCTCCTGCCTCAGCCTCCTGAATAGCTAGAATTACAGGTGTGTGCCTCCATACCTGGTTTAACTGGGAGTTTTAATCGGTATTTAATTCTCTAATGTCATTCCTCTAGGGATGGAAATTAGGTGGCTGCTTCTTTATGACAGTTGTGCTATCATGGAAGTACCACACCTATTATCTTGGGATAGATCACCCCAGTGTTTTCAGTTTTTCTTAGTCTGTGGGTTATCTCCTCTGATCTTTTCTCAGACAACATGGTGTGGAGCTGCCACACCAGCTTAATAAAAAAAGCAATCAAGGGAGCTTTCTTTTACAGGTGAGGAAATAGGTTACTGAGAGTTCTAATGACCTATAACCATAATAAGTGAATTTCAATGAGGATTCTTCCTCCCTGGAAGGAGGTGGGAAGGGTGGTGGTGAATGAAGTCAATGGTGGCAGCAGACTGTACTTAAGAAATTTGGGCTTTAGGAAGAAAGGTTCACCTCATGTTTCAGTGTTATTTATAAAATGAGAGAGAACAAGAGTAATTACCCAAAAAGATGCTTTGTGAAAATGAAAAGAGATATATATATATATATATATATATATATATCTTTCATATATATATATATGAAAAGGTCTAGTACAGGGCTTGGTAATTGAGACTCTCCATAAAGGCAGAGGTACATGCACGCGCGCACCCCCCCGCCCAGGAAGTGGGTAGCTTTGAGGAGTTTTCTTTTTTTAAAAAAATATATTTTTAAATTTCCATTATGATTTCCTCTTTGACTAGTGTTTTTCAATTTTTATGTATTTATTTTTGTGATGCTGGAGATCAGACCCAGAGCCTCATGCATGCCTGACAAACACTTTACCACCAAGCTACATCCCCAGTTCCTGAGGGGATCTTCCTCCAAGACTCAGTCATAGCCCACAGGTCCTCTGACTTAGCTTCTGCAAGCATCTGCCTGTGTAGGATCCTGGAGCAGTCACTCCTTTCAAGATTTGTTTCCATGCCTGCTCTGGAGAATGATGTGTAGGAGCCCTAAGGAGGCTCTCTGGTCAGCAACAGATGCACCGATGTTCTGCTCCACAACAGAGGCAGGGGCTACCCTATATGGAAGCTCTAGTTCTTTCATACCTGTTATTCCTAAAAGGTGCTGAAGTTCAGAAGTTCAACAGCATTTGCTTCATTTTAACAAAATAAGGCAATGTTTATAAAGTAGGATGCTCAGGGGCTGGGGGTTTGGCTCAGTGGTATAATGCTTGCCTAGCATGCACAGGGCCCTGGGTTCAAATCCCAGCACTGCTAAAATAAATAAATAAATAAACAAACAATACTGAGCCCAATGGCTGATGTGTACTGTTTAACATATATTGCCAGTTCTTAGAAGTCAGAGTAATTTTACATCTAAAGCTAGACTGGGTCTGAGTGCTTCCAGGATCCTTTCTCCAGCTTGTGGGGAGGAAATGAACAGAACCAGTGGTCACTAGAACTTAGTCTAGAGCCCAATGGCCCCCTAGCAATTCTATATTCACCCACTGGCAACTATGCCATATTCATTCATTCATTCATTCATTCATTCATCATACATTTACTGAGCACCAGTTGTGTGTGGCCCTATGCTCAGTGCACAAATCTCTAAACTCTGATACTGGTGCTTGTTGTGTCCTGGGCTGGCAAACATAGCATTATGTCAGGAAACCTGACTCTGGCCGCTGCCTCTCCAGCTGCCTGCTGATAAAGTTGGTGAGTTAGGGAGTGCTCTGCTGATGGCACTTTGCATGCCGGGCTATGGAATTTGGAGTCAGTCAAGTGTGTGTTCTTTTTACAGATAAGGAAAGGGCATCTGAGGGAGAAGGGCTTACCCAAGTTCATGATAGTAATTTAGTGATTGTCTGAGGCTAGAACCTGGTTCCTTGATTTGTCTGTCTCTTCATGAGAGCAGGATAACTTGTATTTTCGCTTTCATTTAAACGGGTACTGTTTTCCTTTCAAGTCAAGGTGTCAAGTTAAATGGAGTAGCTCTTGAGTAGTCTAGTTGCTTCTCAACTCTGTATTAGATCACCTGAAGAGCATTTCCAAAATACTGATATGGGAGCCCCACTCCAGACTAATTAAGTATTTGTGTGGGTGGAGCTGGGGGTTCTTAGTGGTTTTAAAAGTTTCCCAGGTGTTTTTAATATAAAGCCAGGGAATGAAGGTCTATAGTCAGTGGTCTAGAGAAAAATGTTTCCAAATTGTAAGGCATACTTGAATCCTTGAATCACTTGGAAATTTTGTTAGAATGCAGATTCTGATTCAGTAGATCAAGGAAGTCCTGAGAATCTCCATTTCTAGTAAGTTTTCAGTGTTCTATTAATACTGTCTGTTCCTGGACCACACTTCCAGTAGCAGGTCCAGTTGGTGCCGAGATTTTGGTCAACCACTTGGGACTTGTTACTCCACCCAGGGTCCTGGGAGTCACTTCTCTCCTGCTCTCTTTCAATCTCTCCACATCTCCACCCCATACAGTCCTTCTTCATCAGATATGGGATTCTACTGTACTGCCCTCCTTAGCTCCTATCCTTTCTTGATGGACTCGTCCTACAGTATTTTTCCCTGTTCCTCAAGATCACTCACTACCTCGGCTCTGTCCTTTGCTGGACTGCCTCCTGATGGGGCTCTTTCCCTCTTGCCTCTGCCCAGTCTATTTTCACTCAGCAGAAAGCTCACCCACTCCCCGACCCATGACAGCATCCGTGGGGATCTCATCTTCCCTGCATTTGTGACCTGTGATGATTGTCTAGGAACAGGATGCCCTCCCTCTGGTTTCGGTTCTGCATTTCCAACACCGGAGCTCGGCCCCATCAGATTCTTAATAAATACTTGTCGAATTTAACGAATAAAACCTCAAACCTGAGTGAGCAAGGCCAAAGGCTTCAGCTGCTCTCTTTCCCATAAAAATGAGCATTCCTTCGAGATTATGCATCAGGCTTTAAACTCTTCACTCGGGAAAAAAATACAGTTGATCAAATTTAACAAAGTAAGTGGCTATTTCCTGTCTGAGTTGGGTATTTTAATACGGTTCAAAGCAGGCGACAGGACAGAAATGGGAGGATGGATGCTGGCAAGAGCTTGGAGGTCTGCTTCCAAAACTGGGCTTGTTACAGAAGGGGGAACGGCTGGGAAGTTCGGGACAGGGTGGGGACAGCCGCTGGGGAGTCTCTTGGCTTTGGAGACTGTCGGAAGCGCGGGGAAGCAGGCAGGAGTTGGGAACGCAAACTAACTTGGCGCGGAGGGAGGCGCCGCGCGCCGCTGCCGTTCAGGTTTCTTGTCTTGCGAGATCCCACATGGGCCGCTGGCTTGGGGAAGGGGGCGGGGGAGAGGGAGGGCAGGTCCAGAGCCAAGGGGATGGAGGAGGGGAGAGATCGAAGGAAATGAGACAACCTTTTCCTCCCACGGACTCGGGCTCCTGCAGCGTTTGCGGGGCTCAGCACAGTTGTCCGTGAGCCCCGAGGCCGGGACTCCGTGTGCCCAGCTCAGGCCCGACCCGTGCGGGTGGCCGGGATTTCTCTCCGAGGCTCCGGTGCCAACCCAAACCCGAGCGGCGCTTTGTCGCGCGTCCTTTCCTCGGTGTTCGGCTCCGGGTGCCCCGGCTCAGCCCCGGAGCGCCGGGAGTGCAGCCCCCGGAAGTGCGCGCCTGCGGTCCTGGCGAAGGTAAGCGGCGCCCCAGAGCGCGCCCAGGGCGCAGGGGTGCCGGGCTTTCCCAGCGGGCCCCGGCTTCTCCCGAGCGCCCCCTCTTCGGAAACACCCAGAACACTTAGGACCTGAAACTGCTGCTTTGTTCTCGAACCCCTGCCCAGGTGTTGTATGTAGGCTGAGTCCCCCAGGGATCACTTGCTTCCTAGCATTTTCTTTTTCTTTTTCCTCCTCTTCCTACGATTACCCTGTTGCTCCCTTTGCTCCATACGTTTCTTTTTCGATATCAAACAACTCTTTGCTCCCCATCTCTGCAGCCTGGCTTCGGACTCCTGGTCCTTTCCAAATCTGGGCGCCTCTGTCGTCCGCCTCCAGGAGCAAGGCTGAGCCACCCGCTCCGCGACAGTGACTGGCTTTGACCTGGGGCCTGCCCGGGGTTTACCTGCATGAAATTTAAGTGTCGCCAAGTTGAACTATTTATCTGGCTTGTTTTGGAGGCACCCAGCTCCTGGCGTGCATTGGGCGCACCCCCACCCACCGACCCTGAAATCAGAGTGGATTGCGGAGTAAAAAGGCTGTTGGCGCCCCCTAAAGCCTCAATGGGATGATCTGCTAGTGGAGAGGGGTGCAGTCAGCTCCACACCGCTAATCTGCGGGTGAGGGGGTCTCACCTACTCGGGGGTGCCCTCGATATGGGGCTCTATGGAACGCGGAGGTAAAGGAAAGGTTCAGAAGGAGGGGACAGGATCGATCATGTAGCTCTAACTTTCCATTTTGCTCTATCTGCCTGAGCTCTCACATCAAGCCTATGAATAGGGTCTCCTATTCCTATTTACAAATAGGCGAAATGAAATGCAGTGAGATTAAGTAATCGCCCAGGGCCACACAGTTTGGAAAGGGCCCAGCCAGGATTTGGATCCCAGATCGTCTGTGCTGTACACAAAACCTAGTCCAGCGGTAGAGGGTTCCTCTGTACCGTCTGAGCGGCCTCCTGCTTGCTCAGACCACGGGGGACCAGGCTTTTCCCTTTTTGAACAAGTATGTCTTGATGTTTTTTGTTCAAACTCAGACATCCTTGCAATTGAGTGGCCAGCTGAATCTGTCTCATCCCTTCCTTCCCTGCCATCCAGCCTGTCACCAAATCTATAATTCTGCCACAGAAGGCTGGCTCAGGACAGGTCCTGGAGCCAGACCACCAGCCTTTGAATCCCAGCAGATGCTGATGCCTTCCTTCCTGTACTTTTTGTAACTGAATTTTCTCATCGGTAAAGTTGGGATGATAGGGTTTAAAGCAATTGTTTCAACTAGGGTTTTGATTTGCCCCTCAAGAGACATCTGGTAATGAATGTCTGGAGACCATTTTAACCATAAAGTGGGGAGGATGCTATTCACATGGGGTGGGGAGAGATCAGGGGATGCTGCTAAGTATTCCATGTTGCAAAGGACAGCCCATCACCCCTCAAGGAAGAATTGTCTGTTCCAAAATATTAATAGTGTGGGTTGAGAAACCCTAGCTTAATGTATTAGGTCACAGAGTGCCATTATTTCCAGCTCTCATCCTTTCATCTGTTCCTGTTGGTCTGATCATACCAGTCTCTGTCCTCCTGTCTCCCCTCATTCCAGAACCAGAATTTGTTGCTAAGCCAAATCAGAACATACTACTCTATTGCCTCATACTTTTTTCTGTTCATTTGTTTTGCTTTATTTACTTTAAGAAAATTTTCAATATTTTTATTGATGCATTATAATCATACACAATAGTGGAATTCATTATTACATATTCATACATGCACACAATGTAACAATATAATTTGGTCAATATCTTTCCTCAGTATTTTCTTTTCCCTTCTTACATCTCTCCCCCTATCCTTTACTAGTCTCCCTTTAATTTTTATGAGATCCCCCACCTTTCTTTTTTCCTCTCTAGCTTCTGCATAGAAGAGAAAATATACAATCCTTGACTTTCTGAGTTTGGCTTATTTTGTCTAAACTAATGCTCTCAAGTTCCCTTCATTTTCTTGCAAATGACATAATTTCATTCTTCTTTGTACTGGCTTATATTCTTGTTGGTCAGAAAGAACATGGATTGGCAGGTGTTTTTCAAGCATTAAAGGTGACTCCTCTGTCCAGGTTTGAAAATCATCGTCTTTACAAAATAAAATATAACCTTTGACTTTGTACACATGGCTCTTTGAAATTAGCCAGCCCTCCCACCCTCACTTCTGCCACTTTCTCTGAGCTTCTGCCATATCTCCTAACTCACTGCTCTTTTGGCCTTACTTTCTGGACTGTTCCTTTTTCTCCTTGATTGGCAAATTCTTTACCATTCTTTGAGACTAGAACTCAAGTCTCCTTCTGGATGATGCTTTCTAAGACAATTCTGTTGCTCCCTGCTGCTCCACCCATTCCACCATATCATTCAATAACTCTCTTATCGTGTGTACTCCACCATGTAGAGATCTCTTGCTTAGCTCTCAACTGGTCTTTATATACCTTGAACCTTGCATAGTGCTGTGTTCCCTGTTGGGGGACAGGGAGCACACTTTCAGGCTTTGGGGTCCATTTGCCTGCATTCATTTCCCAGCTCTGTCACTTGTTAACTCTGTGACCTTGAGCAAGTTAACTCAGTCTTTCAAAGGTTTATTGGTAAAATTTGAAGAAATATTCTGCCTTCTCTGTAGACTACTATAACTAACTAATGGGATCATAATTGCTCATGTTGGTACTAAGTGCCTACTCTGTGGTTTAAGTTTAGCATTTTATGAGTTTTTACTCAATCCTTAAATGTCTCTTTAAAATTAGTATTGATATTGTCCTATTGGAAAAGAAATGGAGACACTGAGAAGCTAAGTAGCTTGTCCACCATCATACAATTCATTAATGGTGGGGTCAGGATTTGCATAGACACCTGGATTATAGAACACTCACTCTTAACATTGTTTAGGTAAAGGACTTAACCCAGTGCTGGGAGTATAGTAAGCATTTGGTACATGTGAGCTGAGGTTTGTTGAGTGCATTAATGAGAGCCTAAGTTCGCTGGGTTTTCGTCTATATCACACTTGTGATCTAAGGCTACATATATAACTCCTGTTCCTTTCCTCTCCTTGCCGTCCTCACAGCCACAGAGGGGCAGGGCATTGAAGTAGTCTGTCACAGGCTGGGCCAGCACCACTGACCTCAATGCTAAATGAAGCCTATGTGTGCTTAGTCAGAGCTAGAACAGCATTATCTCTTTGGGGGTAGAGGTGGAGTCAACACCCCTGCTTGGAGGAGAGAGGTGTGGACATGGGTCAGGAACTTCATGACCCTGATTTTGTCTTTACCAAGCATGTGTCCTTTACAGTGTACATCAATTAAAGATGGTGAAGCCAATCAGTGAGTGGGGGTGGATGAATAAGCCCCCCAGCTGTCTCATCTTGTGCTTAATTAGATGCAAGAGAACAGCTTTTCACCAAGTATTAGGAGGAATGTTGATGTATTCAAGGTAAAACTTGTTCAAGGGATTTAATGACCCATATGGGGTATTGGAGAACCAGGTTTGGACCCTGAGTGAGTTATATGTGACACTGGATACTAGGTTACAGCTGATCACTTCACTAACTTAATCTTATTTTCCTAAAAGCAGTCTTGGCTTTGAAAGCTGAGCCCCCTCCTTGCTATTCCCTGGGCCACTTGCTCTGTAGACTAGGCTGCCTTGCACAGATACCTGCACATCTGTGCACTCTTTCTCTGCAGCTGTCTCACACAGCTGTAATTCCTCTGAATTTGCTTGCTTTTGCAGATTTCCCCCCCACACTTCAGTGGGTTGAGGTCACCTGGTATATGCAAGGACTCACAGTTTTGTTATAGACAGTGGAAAGACTCCAGTAAGGACTTTGTGTGTGAATATGTGTGTGTGTGAATATGTGTGTGTGTGCGTGTGTGTGTGTGTGTGTGCGCACACGGGCGCATGCACTGGTGAATGAACCTAGGAGCACTTAAACACTGAGTTACCTCCCTTTTTATTTTTTATTTTGAGACAGGATCTCAGTAAATTGCTGAGGGCCTCACTAAGTTGCTGAGGCTGGCCTCGAATTTGGAGTCCTGCCTCAGCCTCCTGAGTTGCTGAGTTTGCAGGCGTGCACTACGGCACTGGCAGGGCCACTTTGAAGGGTGGAAAAGGGTGAAAACTTGTCCACGGATACATCTGAGGTTCTGCAGATGCCCGGTGTAGCATTGCCTTTCCCTTCAGGCCTCATACTCACTGTCTCCTGGAATTATCCCCTCCCCTTGGTCACCAGCTGGCCAATCTGAAAAACAAATTCCCCCAGGATGGTAGTGACTGGAGTGAAAGATCCAAAACCTTTGGGCATCACTTGTCTATACACTGAGATTTTTTACAGTGTAGCTCAGAAAATGAACTGGTCACAGGTGACGGGGTGGGAGTATCAGGCTTGGTGCCTGGTCTGCAGGCCTCTGATGTCACACCTTGTTGGCTGCCAACTTGAGTGGCTCCACTTAACTGACCAGTAGGCACATTTCTGATGAAAGCTGACTCCTGGTTCCAGGGAGATATCTTTGGCCCTTTTTTAGGTCTTGAGCTATGTTCTCTGTGAAACATATCTGCTGTTTGACTTGATGTGAAATCCTATTTGGTACAGGAAGGGGTATTTTGGTCTCAGGCTAGAGTGCTGGTAGAATCTTGAGGTGTTAGCATGACTTGATATACAGTACAAACAATAGCTCTGCGCTGGATGCCTGCGACCATGAAGACCTACCTGGTCCATGTCATCAAGGTCACAGTCCATGACATTCAATGGGCATGTGAACAGTTATCAGAAGGTCTTCAGTAGAGTGACAGACCTGAGCAGAGACCTGGGAGCACAAAGGAACCAGCTATCAGTCTGCTGGAGGAATCCAGAATGCCATCGCAAGAGGCTGTTTGAGCTGGGCCTTAATGCATAAGTAGGAGCTTGCTGGGTTTTGAATGGCTGGTGGTCAAAGGGTGTAACAGACAAGAAACAGTATGCGTGGAGGAG